CGGAAAGCTTATTTATTCAGCTTTCAGATGATGCATAAATCTCAAATCTGAAAAATGGACCCATATGAATGTGGTCCAGGGTCACAAATCTGATAACAAAATCAAATGTTTCAAAAACTTATTTTTTTTTCATGTACTGCAGCTGTTTACAGTGTTATATTTGTTAAAGATGACGTTTAATCAGAGCTTTTTTACTCGTGTCTTTACATTCATGATCATAGTATGTTGTAAATGAAGCAGAATAAGCTTATCGATACCTGTGACAGACTGGACTCTCCACAGCCGGATCTGCTGCACTCTGACCCGCTCTGTGTTCACATAGCAGCGGGTTCATGGAGGACAGAGGAGCTCAGTGTTCCTGGGACATGTAGTTAATCATGGAGTTCATCGTGTAGTTCGTTTAGTTTATCCTAGTTCATGTGGAATAAACGGACAGAAAAGCGACAAACATAAACTTATTGAATCGGACGTAATTGGTCTAAATAATTATGCTATTTTTAATTTGCCTTGTGCGTTTACAACTGAATCAGTTAAAGTCATCGGTGTCATTTTTAGTTGCTGAGGAGAAACGTAGTTGGCGCTGTCACGTGATACCCATTACTTTTCACAGCGCTGTTAGGAAGAGCCAATCACAGCCGTTTGTGATTACAAGAGAGGATTACATTTTCTATATATTGCTTGGATGACATACAAAACATACATTTGATAAGCGCAAACCTAATGCAAGCCTAACAGATCCAAATAGAACAAAAATAAATAAACGTAACAACTATAATTATAATAATAATGTAAAATAACTACAGAGGAATGTTTACAGTGAAGTGATTACAGATCTCTGATGAGGTCTGAATTCTGAATGTCTCAATAAAATATATGTAAAATAACTAAATAATAAATGTAAAAATAACGTAATATTTATCAGCTGAAATTTCCATGATATTTTTGACATTAAAACTAAAAAGTAGAAAAGTGTCTTACTTAAGGATTTAGTTAATAATGTCATGTAGCTGGAATGTTTTCACAGTTGTCATACTTTTTTACTTGGTGGCTTTATTTTTGAAACTCAGTTTAGACATTAAAAGTATTGACCTAACTAACTAACAAAATAAAAAGAGCACTTACACTGTTATTGCCATGTGTGTTCATTTAAAGGGGTCCTATTATGTTTTTTCACTTTTTTAATTTTAGTC